TGTGAGTATTGTGCAACTTAAAACCGTATAAGTATACATCCTAAGAGTTACATACATCATTGTATAAACACCTTTGGGCCGAGTATATGACATGTAGTTGTATGCTCTCCACATGACAACGGCCATGAGAATATATTCCAACCTTTGTGAATTCACCACCTTTGGGTGTGTGAACTACTAGGATCAGTCACTCCTCAAGCATATGCTGTACATGCATCCCTCCATAAACTAATACACAATCATCTCCTTTGGAAGTATGACCACGCATTAGAATAGGAGACATCCCACTATAATATGAGATCGATATTTTTCAAACCCAATCAAGTGTGCCATTTTGGAGGTCACAACCCAATTGAATCCTTGAAAATCTCTCATATCATGGATATAAACTTTATATCTCACATTTACCATATACAAGTGATTTTCTTAAAGACAGGGGTAATTTGTCACTAAAATCAAATGCCATGCTAATTTCATTGCTCCATTCATTGATAGACAATGAATTACACTCTACACATTCTTAATATGGTATATACATATGGGCTTGCATCTAAATTTCTAAAACCATAGAGAAATACAAGAAAATACGCAAAAATACCCTAAAAATACACGTATATAGGATTTTATACGTATTTTCACATCCTTAAAGCCATAAACATGTAAAATAAATATACCACAGTGTAAAGCATCTCGATACGAGTGTGGCGGTACCAAGAATGTCCCAATTGGACGTTGGACGCGCTCTCACACACCGTCGGAATGCATAGCGCGTGTTCGCGCGTTCAACCGGTCAAACCGGTTTGAACTGCCGATCTGATCGATTGACCGGTCCAACGGGTCAATGGTCAACGAACTGGTCCAACCGGTTCGATCAAATAGGGTCGGGTCTTTATTTGGGTCGGATAACGGGTCAGGTTGCTCGGTCAATAGGTCAGTCAACGGGTCGGATCCGCATCAGTCACCCATCTGTTGATGTCATGATGACGTTAGCCCTAGCGTTGCACGCGCTAGCTATCACTGCGGCCCAGCGGCACGTGGGGGTGCGTGCGGTGTCCCACGGTGGTGCTCTTCCTATCAAAATGCTCGTCTCGTCGAGCACATTCCAAATATGTAGTAAAAATAATTTTTGATGAACAAAAATCACAAAAACGAGCCAAATTCGTATGCTCTACATCTAGTCTATGGTTGCTCTGATACCACATGTTGGTCACGAAAAACGACACCCCAAGATCTCCATAGGTAGAATCTAGAACACAGATAAACATATAATCGAGTAAATGGAATTTGTGTACCTAATTTAGGATTCATTGTTCTTGATGCGGAATAGCCATGATTATCAGCACAATTCTTCTCCTCTATTACCCACTATATCACTGGCTCAATGAGACTGCCTTTCACAGTTGGCGTTTGCCCCTTATGTGAGATATTTTGTGAATAAGGGTTAGAGGAGGGACTTGAGCACTACTTATAGAATTTTATGCCAGGGCCTCTCATCACGGGTCGGGCCTTACTTGGCTTACACTAGCCAGTCCTATATTAGACTATTTAAGAAACTTTATATCTCACCTTATTAGACCAAGCTCGTAAAACGGTTAATTACAATCTCAATTAATGTAATCCACATCAGAAAAACTCTTACATTTATGGCAATAGCTATTATTACTAGAGAGAGAGAGAGAGAGAGAGAGAGAGAGAGAGAGAGAGAAAATATGCAAGTGTTTTGTGATTTCCTTGATATTGTAAGTGTTGTGACACGCAACATAATCCCGATACCTCGTGTGGGGAGATTACTAAGAAGGGAGCCTAAGTTCTAGCCTATTAAGATATTTGGTTGAACCCATATTCATTAAAAAATTTAAGATAATGAGTTATGGGTCAACTATGACATACTAAGTGCTAGGGGAAAGTACCAAAAACTCATAAATTTATTGTATTGATACCTATTCAGTTTTAAACTTTTCAATTTACCATTTTAGTCATAAATTTTTTGCATTTGTGTCAATTGAGTCCATTCGGCCAATCATGTTCGGAAATCATTGACGTGGACGCTGGCCATCCTATATGGCGCGGCCGGCGCAAACATTGACATTAATTTTTTATGATTTTTCTTTTTTTTATTTTCTTCTCTTTACTCTTTTTTTTTAGGGAGGAGGGGTAGGGAGGGGTTGAGGGCTGGCGACCATTGTTCGCACTGGACGAGGGGCATGATGGCCCTCGCTGTGGCCGGGGAAGGTGTGGCGGCCCTTGCCGCATTCGCTAGATTTGGGAGGTGTGAACAGAAGTAAGATGTCCATTACATGCATGTATTATTTCTAGTCCTACAATATATTGGTTATGCAGAATTTACATGCATATTTTCAAAACTCATACTTAGTAGGTGTGGATTTTGTTATTATAAAAAGGGGAGATTGTTGGAAAATATCCTAAAGAATTTTGATGATTATAAAACATAAGCCAAGCGTGCAAAACTTCATTTAAGTGTGCACAGACTCATATTTAAAATACATAGAAGAGATTATAAGAATATGATTCAGATTTTGCTAAGTCTAGAAATTTGCAGAAGAAAGGATATAGAACCAAACTATGTGAATAGGTGCTTTCCATTAAAAGATTCGGGGATAAAGATATCTCAAATGTCATAACTTCCTTACGGCGGTCATTTGAGCACAACGAGTTCAAAAAAATGCTCACTTAAATGCCATAACTTTTTTAACAAAAAAAAGTTTCATAACTTTTGATCGATGCCATAATATTTAAAAAACCTTCACCACAAATGTCACGCCACATAGAATCTCCAGTGCTTGTAGTGCATTTTTTTAAAAAGTTATGGCATTGGAAGTGAATATTTTTTTTTTAAAGTCTTGGCAGTCAAGTAGTAAAGAAAAAGTGATGGCACTCAAGTTAATATTTTCCAAAAGTCATGTTACTTAAGTGATTGAGTAAAAAGTTATAGTAATCAAGTGATTTTGGTACGAAAGCTATGTCAGTTGTGATATCTTTCTCCATAGATTTGATAATCATTGGAGTTACTAAATTAAGGACTCTTCTCATAGCAATAAAGTATGATTTTCCAAGACTATATATGGCAAAAATGAAGGACTGATTCTATCATGGGATTGGTGAAATGGCGTGATAAAAGCCTGCCATTAATAGAAGATCTGGTTGCCCATCCAAATTGAGGTAAGTGTATGCGTGTGTTTTTAAGGAATTTTGTTGAGATTATTTACAGAGAATTAGATGGACATAATGGATTCACTATCCAAGTGCAAAATTTGAGTTTAGAGCTCCATAAATTGGAGAAAACTCTGCCATAAGGCATACAATTGAATAGGGAAAAAATAAGAAAATTTTACTATTATTTTGACGTTCTTGAGTATGTCTCTTTTGTAAGCTTGTGATATTCATTTAAGTGTTGTTCTCTAGTGATAGTAAGAGTGACAATGTCTTTTGTAAACACATGAAATGAGTGGTTGTACTTAAGGTGAAGCCATTTGCTTAAGGTGAGAGAAGATCAAACGCGATGGAATTTCCAAACATGTGAGAGAGAGAGAGAGAGAGAGAGAGAGAGAGAGAGAGAGAGAGAGAGAGAGAGAGAGAGAGAGAGAGAGAGAGAGAGAGAGAGAGAGAGAGAGAGAGAGAGAGTTACAAGAGGGGCGAAATTAAAAAAATGCCGAAGGGGAAAAACGTGGAAAATAGAAAAGGAAAGGGGGATAAATGTAAGATGAATCTTGATCATCTCCTTAATCAATCCACTTACTTCCAAAAACAAAAATAAAGAATTGCTTCATCCGTCTCATATTTATTTCAAGGAGATAACATCATCAGGGATGAGTCCTTATTGAAACAAGTGGTAAATGAATTGCCTAACTTTTATATAATGAGTTGAAATAAGTTTATATAATGGATTGATCTTTGCTGCATTTCCACCAAAGGATTATAAGTATAACTGGCTAAATAATTTCTGGTTCGAAACTTAGGAATATATAGGATCTATAGATGTGTATGGTGGTAGAGCAAGAAGGAAGAAAGAGAGAGAGATGATCGTGTCTTACTATTTAATATTGTCTCCACTATCTAATTTCTTTCTTTTAACCTAATTGGTAAAATCAAGATGACGAATTATCCACCTCCAATGAAACCACTCTGATCTTCTATTAAAAACAAAATCTCAATTCTCTCTTTAGTTCTTCAACTCTGGTATAAAGTTCTTGCTTCGGCAACTCAAAAATGAGTGGGTTTTATTTATTTATTTATTATGAATCGATATTGAAACCATTCCATTTATTACCCATTTTTCTATCAATGCACTGTGGTTCTAAATTCTCATCTCTGGAATTCCTTTGAAAGGTTGTTGAATATTTTTTTATGGATTCTGTCAATTTGCGCTATACGTAGGAACTTTGTTTAAACAAAGATTCGGATATCCTTTATTATTAAAAATTATGTTCCCTTTCATTCCCCTTAGTATCTTACAAATTGCTTTTGCAGTGTCTTACGCAGAAAGCTTCGGGGTATCCATTCTCTGCCGTCTGATTCGGGAAACCTGAGTATAAATTTGGCAAATCTCTATGATTCACATGACAATGCCTATCAAATTAGATTTCTTCCGTTGAAATCGTCAACCATTCTTTGTGACACGGCTGACTGGTCTTTCGTTGCTGTCTCTAATCGTTGATGCACTTGTCAGGCCCGAATTTTTATGGGAATTCGAGGGCCATCCGCAATTGTTAGAACATTTCCTATTGACATGAGAACAACGGTGCCGGTGATTGATCCAAGGCAGATAGCTACATGCCTTTGTTCATATTTTCATGACAAAGAACGAATGATGGAGACATCAAGCTATTTGATCTGAGCGACATTTTCATCTTCACTCTATGTCCAATAATGTCTTCATCAATCTCACAACTTCGTACCTCCTCTTCTCTTTCCTTCTTGTACACTGCCATTTGCCTTAAATTCAGCATCCCTCGCTTCGATCCCAGCGGGAAATTCTCACTATGGCCCCCTATTTGGAGTCCAAGCGCTCACTGCGCGTTTTCCTTCTCTTCTTGTCCATCTACGTGCTGCTTCGATCGGGCAATTCCCTTTCCTTCAACATATCTCGCTTCGACCCGCAGGCCACAGACATGGTCTATGAAGGCGATGCAAAGCCGAACGTCGGGACCATTGACTTCACTAGCGCCACTTACTATGGCCATATTGGCCGAGCATTTTACGCAGAAAAGCTGCGGCTCTGGGACTCCGCCTCCAGGAGGCTCACTGACTTCTCCACTCGCTTCTCTTTCACCATTGACACACATAACCAGTCGGAGTACGGGTCTGGCTTGGCCTTCTTCCTTGCCCCGGTTGGGTTCCAAATCCCGGTCAACTCGATTGGTGGCTTCTTAGGCCTGTTCAACACCACGTACAGCGACTCGTCCTCGAACCAAATCGTTGTGGTCGAGTTCGACACCTTTGCCAATCCCGAATGGGACCCTCCGTATGAGCATGTTGGGATCAACAATAACTCGATTGCTTCGGCGGTGAACACCCCTTGGAATGTCAGCTTTCACAGTGGTGACACTGCCGACGTGTGGATTGCGTACAACTCTGCGACCAAGAACTTGAGTGTTTCTTGGTGCTACCAGACTACGCCAAACCCGCATGAAAACACAAGTATTTCGTATCAGATTGATCTTACCACTGTCTTGCCCGAGGAGGTGATGATCGGTTTCTCAGCTGCGACTGGCTATTACATTGAACGTCACCAACTTGAATCTTGGTCCTTCAGTTCGAACCTCGAAGTTGAGGAAAAGCAAGGAAATGCAAGGACCAAGTTAATTGTTGGCTTAGCAGTTCCGCTAGGAGTCCTACTCTGCAGCATGGCGGCTATATTGGCAATCCTTTGGAGGAGGAAGAGGAGGAGCGAGGGATCGGAGATGGCGAACTTGACGTCCATAAATGATGAGCTTGAGAGAGGTGCAGGGCCACGGAGGTTTACGTATGCGGATCTCGTTTCTGCTACCAACAACTTTGCTGGGGAGAGGAAGCTGGGCGAAGGCGGGTTTGGGGCGGTCTACAGGGGATATCTGGTTGGCCTGGACGCAGCAGTTGCGGTGAAGCCGATATCAAGAGGTTCAAAACAAGGGAAGAAGGAGTTCATCACCGAGGTGAAGGTGATCAGCAGCCTGAGGCACAGAAATTTGGTGCAACTTATTGGTTGGTGCCACGAGGCGAATGTGTTCCTGCTCGTCTACGAGTTCATGCCGAACGGTAGCCTTGACAGGCACCTCTTCGGCAAGAGGAGCCCTCTAAGTTGGGCTGCCCGGTACAAGATTTCGGTCGGGCTCGCCTCCGCACTGCTCTATCTCCATGAGGAGTGGGAGCAGTGCGTGGTGCGCAGGGACATCAAGTCGAGCAACGTGATGCTAGACTCGGGGTTCAACGTCAAGCTTGGAGACTTCGGGCTGGCCCGCCTCATGGACCACGAGCTTGGGCCGCAGACAACTGGGGTAGCTGGCACGTTTGGATACCTAGCCCCGGAGTATGTGAGCACAGGGCGAGCGAGCAAGGAGTCCGATGTGTATAGCTTCGGGGTGGTTGTGCTTGAGATTTCTACGGGGCGGAGGTCCGTTGATCCAATGGAGCGATCGTCGCAGATGAGTTTGGTGGAGTGGGTGTGGGACCTCTATGGGAAAGGCCGGGTTGTTGAGGCTATGGATGAGACACTCCAAGTGGATTTTGATGAAAAACAAGTGGAGTGCTTGTTGGTCGTGGGCTTGTGGTGTGCTCATCCCGATCGGGGCTTGAGGCCCTCCATAAGGCAAGCGCTTCAGGTCCTCAATTTTGAAGCTACGGTGCCTGTTCTTCCTAATAAGATGCCGATCGCAGTGTACCATGTGCAGTTGCCGCCGTCTGTCAGCTCCGGCGAGCCTCCCATCACCAATAGTCTCCAAGAAGGTCGTTGAGCGTGGTTAATTGGATGGAATAAGAATTATGTTGCAAGTGTTCTTAATTTTTCAAGCATTGGAACAATGAAGTTTGTGTTAATCGTTTTTCCTATTTTTGAGTATATTGAATCTAAGGAAATTATCGTGTGACAACTCAATTCGATGTTGAGAACTCAAATGTTCTTATCTCTAGGTTACTTGTATTTACTTGTTCTGAATTCCAAATGTTTGGTTCGTTTTGAAAGATGTGAATTGATGCCACAACTAGTAACTGTTTAAAAGCGTCCCTTCATCCATTGGAAACCATAATTGGATTTCATTATTAAGAAAATTAATGCAACTTTCTTAGAAAAAGGACACTACAAGTGCCATAACTTTCATAAGTACTCACTTGAGTGCCTTAGCTTTCTTTACGATTACATGAGTGCTATAACTTATATAAGACATCCACTTAAGTATCATAATTTTTTTTTCAATCACTTGAATACTATATAACTTTCCAATCGATTAGTTAAGTACCATGGCTTCTTAAAAACTTTTACCACAAGTGCTATGTCACGTCGGATTGACTCAAGTGATCGAATGTAAGTTATGGACCTCAAGTGAATGATTTTTTGAAGTCATGACACTCAAGTGATCGAAAAAAAAGTTATGTCTCTTAATTGAGTGCCATACGGAAATTATGACATTTATGGTATCCTTATCCCAACTTTTTTTTATGAACTAAAGCTACGTTTGGTCATTAGGATTCGAATTAGGATAGGATAGGATAAAGGGGATTTGAAATACTCCAAATATCCTCCATATTGTAGAAATAATCATCATATGTTTGGTGTAATCTACGATATAATTTGAAATCTTTGAAAGAAAGATATTTGAAAATCTGCGACCTAAGATTGGATTGAAAATCTTTTATAATCCTTCTTGTTTGAAAATCTTTGAAATCCCCATATTTGACTAGCTCCTCTTGTAGGTGACAACACAAACCCTCTTGACTACTGTCGTCAACAATCAATCTCTGGGAAATCGACCTTTGGGGCATGACAACTTTCAACAGACACGACCTCATGGAGTTCTGGTACGACCTCGTGAACAACAGGAGGCACTTCTTGTGGGTCGTGCGGCCGGACTCTATTGCTGAAGAAAGCTATGACACCATCCCGAAGGATTTAAGGGAGGCGATATTGGAGAAAGGGTGCATTGTTTGGGGGGGGGGGGGGGGGAGGTTCTGCACCATGGCGCCAATGTGGAGTTCTTGATGCACAACAGGTGGAACTCGACGCTCGAGAGGGTGTTCGTCGGGAAACTGATGGTGTGCTGGTCGTTCTTCACCGACCAGCAAGTGAACAGCCGTCTTGTGAGTCATGCTTGAAAGGTCAGGCTCGACATGAAGGATGTATGAGACAGGGAGGTGGTGGAAAGGATGATTAATGCAAATCTCGGATGACGATCGTCTTTAGACTCCTTTTCACCCTCACTCATCGGAACACGATAGTCGGCTTGCGATGGCGACCGGCGTGGTTGGAGGTGACAGCATTTTGCACCATGGCGCCAATGTGGAGTTCTTGATGCACAACAAGTGCAACTCGACGCTCGAGAGGATGTTCGTTGGGAAACTGATGGTGTGTTGGTCGTTCTTCACCGACCAGCAAGTGCACAACCATCTTATGAGTCATGCCTGAAAGGTTAGGCTTAACATGAAGGACGTATGCGATAGGGAGGTGGTGGAAATGATGATTAATGCAAACCTCGCACGACGATCATCTTTAGACTCCTTTTCACCCTCACTTGTGACATTCTGAAATCCGACCCACTTGGGATTTATGAAATGAATAGTTTATAGACGTGCTTGTAGTTAGATCTCGCCCAGAATTGATCACTTCGGGAATACTAACTGTTAGGGAAAGGCTAATTACGGATTTAAATTTGCGCGATCAAAGAACTCGATCGTGAATCGACTTTCGACCATGAAAATTGTCGAGGTGACATTTTGAGCCAATGTAGGCCGATCCAAGGATAGTTAGGGATCAGTTCGCCATTGTCATACGAGTGGATCGCGGGTGATTCCGCTTGACCACGAAATGAATTGACGAATGACCCCAAACCTATACCAAACGATCGTGCCCGTCGGAACTAGCGATCGATCCTCGCGATTAAGTAACAACCGAAGTCGTTGCGACCCGAGTGAACTTGAACGTGGCATGATTCAGTATAGGCCACGGGTCAAATGTGCGAATTTCCCCAAAAGCCACCCGTTAGTATGAGATATGCGCAAGTTACGTTATTTAGAACTTAGTCATTAATTAGAGACCAAGTTGGGCATTGAAAATTTAGAAAGTCACGACACATCATCTGGACGATGTTGTCATTTGCTCGGGTAGCCACGGAATTGTCCGAATCCTTTAGAAAAATCGAATTTCGGTGAGAAATGGAAAATGACCATTTTACCCCTGGAAGTTTGTTAAGGCCAATGTAATTGGGGAATGGCATTTTGGTCATTTCGCCCTAGCTTTAGAAATAGAAATTTTTGGACAATTTTGCCCTTGGACTTTTTGTGAAATCCCCAAATTACCCTTGGATATTTTGGAAAAGATTCGATCTCGGCCGTTGATCTCAAGATAAGATCGAATCTTGGCCGTTGATTTGGAATATGAGAGAGGGGCATGATGGTCATTTGGGCTTGGAATTAGACATCAATTATTGGTGTTCTCATATTTAGGCTCCGTTCGTTTGGCGAAAAATATTCTCCCTGAAAATATTTTTCGGGTTTTCCGGTGTTCGGGGGGCGGAAAACGTTTTTCGTGGGAAAATATTTTCCTTCCCCCCTCACAAAATAGCCTAAGTCTATAGAAAATGACTTCCGCTTCTTCAAAAGCGAAAATCATTTTCCGGAGCTTCTTCTTCTTCTTCTTCACTAAGGTCGTCGGCCACTGCCGCCTCCGGCCGCCGTCGCCGGCCGCCGCCGGCCGTCGGTCGCCAGCCACCGCCGGCCGTCGGTCGCCGGCCGCCGCCGCCGGCGAAAAATATTTTCCGAAACTTTTTCATATTGATCGCCGAACACCGGAAAATTATGTTCCGGGAAAACATTTTCCAGGAAAATGACTTCCGGAAAAATATTTTCCAAAAGGAGAATATTTTCTGCCAAACGAACGGAGCCTTAATCTCATTTTTCCTCTCCCTCTCATCACTCTCTCACCTCTCTCGGCCACTCTCCCTCTCTCTCTCCCCTCCCGACCGAGACCACCTTCCTTCACCGTGACTGTGGCCGTCCGGCTTAGCCAGCAGCCGTCGCCGCCCTCCCGTCCAGCGGGAACAGTAGCATCGGAGCAAGTCGCCGCACGCCGTGGCCGCTCGCCTCGCCCAGCCGCTCACCCCACTGTCCCCCCCCTCTCTCTCTCTCTCTCTCTCTCTCTCTCTCTCTCTCTCTCTCTCTCCTGTTCTGCCTCACCGAATCACCATCACCCTCAATCTGTCTTGTTCAGATCAGCCGAGTTCAGCCAGCAAACCGCTGCTCGCTGTCGTCGTCCGCTGAGCCGCTCGCTGTCGCCGCTCACCGTCGCGTGGCCATCGGCCTGCCGCCCCATTTCCACTCTAGCCGAGCTAGCCTAGAGTCCAAGTAAGTTGCCCCCTAAACCCTATTTTGGATGTCGGGTATCGATAGACACGATTAGGGCCTAAATCGGGTTAATTAGTGACGGTTCAAGGGTTAATTGGCGGCCGTTTAGGGGTTATATTGGTAGACTGATTTGAGGACTTAAATTGGCTGAATTGTGGGTGAATTTGTGATGTTTCGGGACTGATTTGATGTGGAGTTGAGTGCTGGAAATTGTAGCTCGTATTGATGAGCATATGACTTGATTTTGGGACTAAATGTTGTCGGGTTGGCGAGCCGTGTTGTGACTGAATTGTGGTGGCAATTAGGGCTGGAAATGGACTTGAAAATGTTGAATTTTATGCCATGATTGTGGCTGTGTTTGTGGGCCCGATAGTGGCCTTGTATGATCATGGAATCGTGACTTGATTATTGAAATGTGGGTCGTTATGTGCACGCATGTGGTGAATTGAATTGATTGTCAATTGGCCGTGTTTGGGTGTTTATTAAGCATGAGAAATGTGTGTGGTTTGGTGCGTGCACGGGCCAAGTGTGATTGGCTAATGTATTGGCATGTTGGTGTCGAGCAAGTGAACGAGTGAAAAATTATGTGGTGGTGCTATATGTGTGGTGACAAAAATCCCTGAGGCGGTACCATTACGCGGGAAATTGATCAATCCTGAGGCGGTAATACTACGCGGGACGATACCCGGTATTACCGGAGGACGGCCAACCTGAGGCGGTACTATTTATGCGGGTTGTGTCGTAGGTGGTGGGTGTTGAGCCTGAGGCGGTACCATTACGCGGGCAAGATACACGGCCTGAGGCGGTACCATTACGCGGGCGACGAAGTGTTGTTAATATGAGTTAGTCGCAGTGAACCTGAGGCGGTACCATTACGCGGGTCACTGGTAAGTTGAGTGGAAAATATGAGATGGTCGCAGTGAACCTGAGGCGGTATCATTATGCGGGTCACTGGAGAGTTGAGTGAAAAGAATGTGATGAGGCAGAAACGAGTGCGTGAAATGTAATTAGAATGTGCATGTGGTTGGAAATTGTGCTATTGTGGCTAACGTGCAGGTTGCACGCAGGAAAGGCTCAGGTAAGTGTAAATTGTGTGCCTGTTATGTAATGGTTGAGTGTAGCTGTGTTTGTAATTGTCTGGAGGTACGTGATAGCCTAGGTGGGGTTTAGGGTGTGTACTTATTGAGATGTATTCTCATGGTTGTTTCAACCAACAATTTCAGAACCCCGGCCTGAACAATGAACCTTCCACCTCCGCCGCCGTAGTGTTTTGGGATTCCTATGCATACCGACCATGATGTTGTAGAATACCCGATAGATGATAACATGATCTGGGTGAAGCATACTACGGTAGTTTGGGTAAATATAGGACTACCCCTCTGGCAAGCCCACACATATACTG